GGAGCCGCTCCGCCCCGGGGCATGCCGGGAGCTGTAGTCCGCCCCCGCCAGCCCGGCCCAGCGCCCCCCGCAGCGCCGCGGACCCTCCCCGCCTGCCCAGCCCGGCCGGCCGAGGAGAAGAGACCGCGCACTCGTGTTAGAGACGTTTTATTGCGGGGTCCCCACCCCATGCAGCTCGCGGTGGTGGTTTTTCCTTTAAAAACGTAGTAACTGTCATTATAAAAGGCCCGAGGCCTGCATGCACGCCCCCGCCCGCTCGGGGAGGGCTCCCGGCAGAGCACGGCCCCGTGCCCCGCTCCCTAGAGGAGCCCCAGAAGGTGCCCAACGCTTTCTCCAGGGGCTCCCCACGCTCGGCCAGAGCCCTGCTGACTTCTACATGCAGCTTCCTCCCGATTTTCCTGGGACAGAGAGAGAAGTCGGGCCAGGGGTTACTACGAGCTCAAGGGGTCGGCTGTGGTAACCACCCTCTCAGAAGGACCTTGGCTATGGTCTCCAGCTGGAGAAAAGCCATGTCCTCTGACTCGCCAGAACGGATGTGGCAACCCGGCCAGAGCTCCCACGAAGACATGCAGCCCTCCCGGGGCCAGGCTGCAGAGAGTGCCAGAGCCTGGCACTGGTAACCGATGGCAGTAGTGGGCAGAGCCGTTTGAGGTGGGACCAGGCGGACGATCTGCTCAGCCTGGTGGCAGAGCTACAGCATGAAGCTGAAAGGTTAAGGAGCATCAGGGAGTTGGAGAGAGACTGGTGGAAGCCCCCCCCCCCCGGAAAAAAACCACCCCCCAAAAAAAAAAAAAAAAACCAAGATCAAGGGGATCCTGTGTCCTCCCCCTGCCAGGCTGAGGGCAGTAGCTTAAAGCAAAGGAGGGAATGCAGGCAAGTCCACACTCAGGGCAGCAGGCAAACCCCCTCCTTGTCCACCTCGCCTTCCTAGGTGCCTCTGTACGACAGCTACGAGGCTCTGGATGTGGAAGACCAGATAATGGATGATGTGGATGACAGTCCATTACACCAGAGGCACTGCCAACATCAGAAAGGCCTACTCCCTGTATCACGACCACCTCCACGAGGAAGAAAAGATGGGTTATAGTTGCAGGTGATTCCTGAGGGTAACAGAGGGTCCAATACGCCAGAATGGCCCTCCCACTAGGGAAGTCTCCTGCCTCCCTGGGGCCCAGGTTAAGAACATCACTAGGAAACTTCCTAGCCTGGTATGGCCCTAGGACTTTTACCCATTACTGCTCTTCCATGTGGGTGGCGATGAAGCCACAAAGCATAGTCCAAGGGCAATCAAAAGAGACTTCAGGGCTTTGCAACGATTGGTAAAGGAATCTGGAGCACAGGTTGTTTTTTCCTCTCTCCTTCCAGTTGCAGACAGCAATATTGGAAGAAACAGACAGACCTAGTCTATTAATACATGGCCGCATGGCTGGTGTCACCACCACAATTCTGAGCTTTTCATTACTGGGATGGCCTACATGGCCAAGGCTGCTGGCATCAGATGGGATTCATCTTTCTCTAAGGGGAGAGCAGGTCATTGCTCATGAGCTAGTGGGGCTCACTGACAGAGCTTTAAACTAGACTTGAAGGGGGAGAGGGACAATATCAGGCTTGCCTGTAACAAGCTGTGGGATGACACACCAAGGTTAGAGGGATGGGGTGCTGGCAAGGGCCCTCAGCCTATTGCTTTGAGACATGCTGGCTACACTGCAGCACACCTGAAGTCTTACATAGATGAGCCAGGGGCTTCTGAGGCAGTAGGAGCCAAGAGGGAAACACCAGTGAAATACCTCAAAAGAATTAAGGATTGTTCTCTAAAAAGGTGACCGATCAGCTGAAGTGCCTCTACACCAAGGCATGCAGTAGGGGCAACAAATAGGAGGAGCTGGAAGCCACTGTGCTGCTAGAAAGCTACAACCTAGATGTCATTACAGAAACTTGGTGGGATGAATCCCATACCTGAAGTGCAGCTACTGATGGCTGAAGGCTGTTCAGAAGGGACAGGTGCGGAAGGAGGGGCGGAGGCATTGTCCTCTACATCCAGAAATGGATAGAGTGTGAAGAGCTGTCTCTGAAGAATAGCCACGAGCAGGTAGAAAGCTTATGGGTAAGAATCAGAGACCAAGGCAACAAGGGGAACCTTGTGGTTGGGGTCTACTACAGGCTGCCTGATCAAGGGGACCCTATTAATGAAGCCTTCTTACTCCAGCTCCAGGAGGCTTCGCGCTCATGGCTCTCATCCTGCTGGGGGACTTCAACCACCCTGACATCTGCTGGAAAAGTAGCACAGCGAGCTGTGGACAATCCAGGAGACTCCTGGAGTGTACTGAGGGTAACTTCTTACGCTAGGTAATAGACAGCCTTACCAGAGGGGATGCGATGCTGGACCTATTGGTCACTAACGCAAGTGAGCTAATCGGTGACGTCAAGATTGGAGGCAGCCTGGGCTGCGGTGATCATGCACTGGTGGAGTTTGCAGTCCTGAAGGATATGGGTCATGTGAAGGGTAAAGTCAAGACCCTGAATCTTACGAAAGCAAACTTCCAGCTCTTCAAGGAGTTAGTGAATAAGACCCTCTGGGAAACTTCCCTTGGGGACAAGGGAGTAGAACAGAGCTGGCAGATCTTTAAGCACGCTTTCTATAGAGCACAAGGGCTCTCGGTCCTCAGGTGTAAGGAACTGGAGACCTGCTGGTCAAACTAAAGGGCAGGGAGAAAATGCACAGGCAGTGGAAGCATGGACAGCTATCCTGGGAAGAGTACAGCGATGCTGCCAGGTTGTGTAGGGGTGGGGTCAGGCAGGCTAAGGCGCAGCTGGAGCTGAACTTGGCAAGGGACACAGAGAATAATAATAAAGCCTTCTACAGGTATGTCAGCCTGAAAAGCAAGGTCAAAGAAAGTGGACCCCCCCCTCATAAGCAAGACTGGCAAACTGGTGACAACAGAAAAGGAGAAGGCTGAGGTACTCAACAAGTTCTTTGCCTCAGTCTTCACCGCTCTTCCCACACTTCTTGAGTGAATGGACCACAAGGCAGGGACTGGGGGAGCAAAGTCCATCCCACTGTAAGACAAGATCAGGTTCATGACCACCTGAGGAACCTGTACATACGTAAGTCTATGGGACCTGACAAAATGCGTCCCAGAGTCCTGAGGGAAGTGGCCGACTGAACTGCCAAGACACTCTCTGTGATATCTGAAAAGTCCTGGCAGTCAGGTGAACTTCCTGGTGACTAAAAAAAGGGAAACATTGCACCCATTTTTAAAAAGGGTAGAAAGGAAGACCCTGGGAACTGCCAACCCATCAGCCTCACCTGGGAAGATCATGGAACTGATCCTCCTAGAAGCTATGCTAAGGCACATGGAGGACAGAGAAGTGATTCAAGAGCCAGCTTGGCTTCACCAAGGGTAAGTCCTGCCTGACCAACCTAGTGGCCTTCTATGATGGAGTAACTGCATCAGTGGACAAAAAAGTGCTTTGGATGTCATCTATCTGGACTTCTGTAAGGCCTTCGACACAGTCCCCCACAACATCCTTCTCTCTGAATTGGAGAGATACGGATTTGATGGGTGGACTGTTCGCTGGCTGATCACATCCAGAGGGTAGTGGTTAACAGCTCAATGTCCAGATGGAGATCAGTGACATGGTGTCTTTCAGGGGTGCGTATTGGGACCACTACTGTTTAATATCTTCATCTGTGACAGACAGCAGGATTGAGTGCACCCTCGGCAAGTTTGTAGATGGGTCACCATCTACATCACTCAGCACCAAGCTGAGTGGTGCAGTCAACACACTCGAGAGATGGGACACCATCCAGAGGGACCTGGACAAGCTCAAGAAGTGGACCCACGTCCTGCACCTGGGTCAGGGCAATCCCCAGAATCAATACAGGCTTGGGGATGAATGGGTTGAGAGCAGCCCTGCCGAGGAGGGCTTAACGATGCTGGTGGGTGAAAAACTGGACATGAGCCAACACTGTGCACTCCCAGCCCAGAAGGCCGACCGTGTCCTGGGCTGCATCAAAAGTAGCGTGGGTAGCAGAGTGAGGAAGGGGATTCTGCTCCTCTGCTCCGCTCTGGTGAGACCCCCCTGGGAGTCCTGCGTCAAGCTCTGGAGCCCTCAGCACAGGAAGGACATGGACCTGTTGGAGCAGGGCCAGAGCAGGCCACAGCAATGACATGAGAGCTGGAACCCTTCTGCTGTGAGGAAAGGCTGAGAGAGTTTGGGCTGTTCAGCCTACAGAAGAAAAGGCTTCAGGGAGACCTTACTGCGGCCTTCCAGTACCTGAAGGGGGCTTGTAAGAAAGATGGGGACAAACTTTTCAGCAGGGCCTGTTGTGATAGAACAAAGGGTAATGGTTTTAAACTAAAATACTGTAGATTTAGAGCAGTTACAAGGAAGAAATTTTTTAGGGCGATGGTGGTG